AATAAGCTAGAACTATACAATATGTCGTCCACTATGTTGTGGGGATCTAATGTATTGTGAAAGTTGGATGCTAAAATGAAAAAAAAATGTTACATGATGTTATATCACCAAATAATTCCACATTTTTTTTTAAATCAGACATCACGTGATTAATAGCAAATAACTTGTCGGAATTGAATTCTCTCTCGAACAGACTACTATCGAATAATAAATTATACTATTCGCAAATCCCTAGCGAGAAAAAATTCAATTACACAATATATTGAATTATCGATTTCTACTGGTGAAATTCTTGCATTTATTTGCATTCTCTCCAAATGATAATCACTTATCTCGAAGTTCATACACGTAGCAGATCTATATAACTCGTTCTATACACATACATAGGTTCGAAGAAAACCAGTACTATTCCCAAGGAATATGAACTACAAATATTTTATTACTCTTCCGTTCTATTACTTACCTACTACACAGTTTTTACAGGGCAAGTCTTAAATAAGTGCAAATATTTAAAAGGCTGATGGTAGATATTGATAAAAAAAAACATTATTTTCCCTTTACCGTTTTTCAAGTAAGTCCAAAATGACTGAGAACCAAAAAAAAATATTTTTTGCTTAAATTTTGAGAACCACTGAATCTTTTCTAGGTTTTCTTTCTTGTAAATTTAATCTACTACCTATATTGCCATAGTATCAGGAAATTGTATTTTTTTTTAACTAAAAACTAAAAGAAACTCCAACCAAATTTTCGAAATTTCTTTTTCGCGAAAAAAAAACTCACATCGTATTTCTGAGGTCAAAATATACTACCCCTAAAAATATTTGCACTTATTTAAGATTCACCCTGTATAACACGACTAAAGTCTGTCCAACGAGTCGGCGAAGGTTTTGACAGACGACATCCAAAAAATGACAGGACATGATATGCCTGTGAATTAAAATGACAGACACGACTCTGACTGTCAGGGATCCTCCTGTTGGACAGATTATAAATATGTACTAACGTCTTCAATGGGCAGTTAAAGATTTCTATTTGGTTATGGTTTATGGTTTTGAAAAATCGGCGTCAAGTTGCCTTGGATGACGATCGGTGATATCCATATAACTTTTTGTACCGATTTAATGTAAAAGTTGTAATAGAATTTTTTGATGAGGCGATAAGCTAGTAGTCCAATAAATTAAGGTTGAAACTACCACGGCTTAATTCGTCGACCAAGACTTTTCAGGTGGATTGTGTACCTTTTGGGGTAGTAGTTTTAGGGGAAACACCTTGCTCAGCCAGCTTTAGCCGAGAAAAATGGCCCCAAATGGCCCAAAAATCAGTTTTTCACAAATATCTGCCAAAATAGGCAATTTAGAAATTTTTTTGGTGACCAATGTTCAATATTAATTTTGTCTCACCCTGTATAACTTTTTGGATCAAGTTTTAATTTGATTTAAAGTACAATAGTTAATTTAACTACATATTAGGCTATACCGGGCAAATTCCAATTTAGGTAGCTTTTATTGTAATTTAAAAATTGTTCCTTATTTCTAGAAAATTATTTGTCAAGATTTTTTTAACAGTTGTTCTTAGGGCACGCATACTCTTTTTAAGCAACTCAGAAAGTTTGAAGTATTTTGTTTAATCACATTTAATAAAAAACTATTATAACTATTCGTGACTGCCATTTCCGCTTTTTTGGAACTTCCGGAATGTGTCGTAAACAAAAGAAAATTGCATAATTATGAATAGTCGAATTGGTTTCTTTTTACGAACAAAACTTTAGGAAAAAAGTGGCAGGATCATTTTTTAGCTAAGGACCGAATCTTCCACTTGGCGATCATGAAAATCATCTACATGCCATATTTCAGCCAATATTGGCGGAAACACCGTTCTTTGACCGTTTAGGACTGTTTTCCAGTGATCTTACGAAAAAATGTGTCAGGACCTTTTTTGTAGATAATGATTTTTTTTGAGTGTGCAAGTTCAATAACATTTATTTATACATAATATAATAAATAAAAAATACACCGATAAGATTTGTTGACAAATAGCAAATACACGACTTATTTGACTAATGATTGTAAATGTTAAATAAAATGTATTCTGTTACAATTTCTATTGAAATACCAACGCACTTTCTAGTAAGCGAACAATCTATCATCAGCCGAGAGATTTCAATTAGCAAAAAGAATTACAGAACTCTTTCAACTTACATTTAAGGCATTGATTCGAGATTCAACCTTGGTAGGATTTGCAAAAGCCTCATAATAAATAAAAATATTTGATATCTAAATCAAAATAAATCAATAATTATTATTCTGAAAGCGTATATCGACACCTAAAGGAATGGATACCATGCCAAACTTGATTGTTATGTGTTACACGCTAAACTTAAGTATGTGTTGGCTTTAAACACTTTCTAATATCTAAAATCGGAATTTGCGGTAGCATGTACAATCTCGCTTTTAAATTTAAGCTAAATATATAGTTAGTATTATAGTTAAAATCTAATAAATAAAGGAAGATATTGCAAAACGAATCTCTGCAGAAATTAAAATAAAAATTATTGGCTTGTTTCATTCAGCTTCTTTATACATATACATAGCGTAGGAGATTCAGAAGGACACTTGATAGTCTTGTTCTAGTTAAACAATACTTGTATTTCTCTTGAGCACATTCTTAAACTCTTACCTAATTACCTAATTAGATGTAAATTGTGCTACATAAAGTATTGGAAAAGATAAAGCTTCAGATTCAATATTCAAGTGATATACTATTTTGAATGTTTTTTAGTTGTTTTAACCGAGGGGTTAACACCACTGACCGCTGACGAATTTCTGTACAGGGTGGGTCAAATTCGACGCTTTTAAATGGAAACACCGTTTTCTATAGGAGATAGACGAAAACTAATATCGGTGTCTGGAGCTCAATTTTTATCAAAAACATGATGGACCGCACATCAATATGTAACAATGGTACATGCATGTTATTTTGCTAGGAACTTTAAAATAATTAAAAGGGTCGAATTTTCAAAAGGATATTTTCATTTTAAAAGGCATATGTGGAATGCTACCTAGAAAAGCAGCTACAATAATTTGACAAAATGATAACAAGTTGTTAAAGTTGGACTAATTAGACAGCTATGTTGACGTAACGTCAGACATGTCACAGCCACCCTAGATTTTATCAAATAATAAAGATCTACTCAGATCAAATCATGTAATGAAAGTATCTAGGAAAATCTTTGTTTGAGGGGTAGGTAACCTTAATAGTATTTTGAAGAGACAAGAATTCTCCATTGAATATCGGAATAATATACTGGGTGTTCCATTTAAAATAAAAGAGTAACATGCTTTTAAAAGTGACCAAGGTTCAATATTAATTTTGTCTCACCCTGTTGCTTAAAGCAAAACAAATAGGATAAAAATAGATCTTATACAATCGTTAAAGAGGGATATTAAGATTAGGTAAAGATTATATTTGTTTAATTTATCTCTTTTTACAAAATATATTTAAATGTGATTGTTAACCCGGTTAATCTAATGATCAAACCGTTCGTAATTAAACTACCAGCTGATATACTCTCAGCACTGATCTTGGAACAGCTGATTAGTAAACTACCTAATCTAGGATTTTATTTCCGAAAACCCCTAATATGCACACAAAATTTCATTTCAATACAAACTGACAACACTTGTGTCTAGCCCTAGCACGCAACTGTAAAGCCCGACCAATCACGTTAGAGTTTTTGACAAACACGAATGAATGAATACACTCCAAATAACCACGCTAACCAACCTGATTGGTCAAGCTTAATAGTTGACTGCTAGAACTAGACACTTCTACCAGCTTCTACTGACAACTGACATTCTCCTTGGAGCCTTGGCGCCACCTTGTATTTAAAGAGTCTATAACAACACAACTAATATTTATATTTTAATTCGAGTTTTAATATCAAATGATAAATATTTGAATGTGCCTGTCAGAAAAAGAAAAAAATCTTAAATAATACCCTTAATAATATATTATTAGCAATTAGACAAAAAATAACGAAATATTTCTTGAAAATTTTAAAACATAGAATACGTAGGTATGTATGTGTATGTTTTATGTTTAACGAATGAAATCACTAAATATTTTCAACATAAATTAGTACAAAATTTATATTTTATATACATAGGTTACTAAAAAAATATTGAGTACAGATTACTCCACTCAAATGGAAAAGCAAATACTTAATATACAGAGCAATAAACTAAATTTATGTTGTTACAAAAGAAAAAATTAAAGAGAACGCATTGTATTGTCCATTTAATGCAAATTAACTTAACCAATTTGGTGCTGCAAAACCGAATTTGCAACCATTCGCGAGCATTGTGAACGCCTACCTGCCTTCTGAATTTCTCTTCGTTATTACGTAAGGCTCTATTTCAGATCAAGTTTTATTTGTTTTATCGAATACCCAGTCGATACTTATTATGCATAGCGTTAGATCAGATAACGAGATAACCGATTATGTCATCATCTGGCCAATATGTTTCTGGTTTGATACATATTGCAGCTGTATTAATCATAAATTGCACATGATTTAACAACTTTCTAAATAATTTCTTAGGCCTTTCCCTTCTTGTAACATGCTAAAGACCCTTCTTTATTCTTGCCCTTCGAGAATTAAACTAGGAGGGTTGAAAAGACGTTTAAAAGTGGTGACTGGTGAGTCATATGATTAAAACCAACAGCCTTTAAAATTTAAAGAACAACAGTTACGTATTTTTAGCAAAAAAAAACCTTTTGATATGTAGTAAATAAACAATCTACTTTAAGATATGTCATATCAGATTATTTAATATGTTGTGTGCATATATTGAATATTGTTAAGAGGAGAATAATAGTACCTATAATTAATATATATTTATATTAAGATCTACAAAACATTATCGCTAGATAATATGTGTACGAAATCTTAGTAGATATAAAAACAAATCATTTTAAATAAATACCCTTAAAAGTCTTACCTCATTCCTCTTGTTTTGATTCCTCAATCTGGCAATTAAATCTTTTTTCCATTGGGGTATATCGTCACTAACATTTACTACAGCTGTTGTTGCCATTATTTTCCAACAGAATAAAATCCGGAAACCCGTAAAATTAAGAGAAAAAATGCATGGCGAGTTGTTTACTTTCAATCAATATTGGAAAGTCAAGTGAGATGTTTTATCTCCGTTTAAAAATAATACGAATTACTTTCGATACATAAAAAATAAGATAAGATCTGATTGTTTAACCTTTTTTTAACAAATTAAATCAAATAAAAGCGCGATTATTTAACCGATAACCGAATAATCGTATAAATCTATCGAGAAAATTTGAAAATACGTTAACTAACAGTTCTACGGTTCCTTACGATGCACACGCGGATACCGACTAGAAACGCATTCACTCACTTAACGTACATGGAAAAAAAACTACAATCTATTAAATGTACTGGCACATACACACACATCAATGGAATCAAATAAGTTGTTTAATGCATTCAATTTAATTTCGCTCATTCTGTAGCGGCCCCATCTGACAGTTGTGAAAAGAGAGCGCAAGTCACTGGTGATATATTCGAAATATGGGCACCGTTTTTTATAACACACATGATGAGTTAAAAAAGGATGAAGCGGAATTTGTTCAGCCTAGCAAGCATCATAACAGAGAATCAAAATCAATACAAAATCATAAAACTGAGGTTATTATCTGTCTTTGTTTAAGACTGCAGATCGGAGAGAGATAACAAAGTTAATTTAGATTTTTAAACGACATTTATCCTGGTGGCGCCCTCTCTGGGGTAACTCTTCAAACTATAAATATTCGGAAGTAAATTTCTACAATATCAAGTTGCTTGTTTAGGCAGCCAGTAAAGCAGAAAGAAGCGCGCCACAATATGTGATTATAATAATTTTAATTATCAGCACCTCGTAATGTAATAAATATATTAAAGATGCAAATTGACTAGATATTATTATTATCTACCGACATTATAAAATTTTTTAAAATGTTCTGCAACTTTTATATTTTTTTCTTCCTTCTTCTTATTCCTTCTGAGGGAAAACATACATACATTTATAGAAAAATTACTATTAAAATTATTTATTATATCTATTTATAATATTATATTATTATATTATTTATAATATTATCTATTAAAATTACTCTATAGTAATTAGTTTAATTACTATTGATTGTCTTTAAATTTATGTTTATTAGATACATTAATTTAACATTAAATTTTCCATTCAAGAGAAGTACAAAATTTAATATAATTTATTCCCTAGTTATTTTTGCTTGTTTATATTTGCTTCTTTATATGTATTAAAAATTCATAAAGCCTAATTACAATTATTTTATGCTTTGAAACAAAATAAACACCAGAGAAAATGAACATTAATTAAAAACATTATTTTTCATCAAATATTCAATTCATCATATGAATTTAATAGGGAATTAACTTTTCACACTTACCTTAACAGATGGCGCCACGTGATTAATTTTGCAAGTCGCGCTAACTAAACAGAATTTAAAATTAGTCTGGGGATTAGTCTAGATTTTGTATAATACAACCCAAAGTTTACAGACTTAATAAACTGTGGATTGCTGTTTAAAATCACTGTTAGTTTCTTTAAAATATGAATGTAGCCAATATTAGTCATTTGTGTTTCATTTGGCTTTTAAATAGTAAAATTCTATTTTACAAATATTATTCTTATCACCATATAAAGGTCAAATTCAAACCAAGTACATGAATTTTAATATTATACAGGGTTGTCCAAACTGTATTCCGGAATCTTCGGCAGTGTATTATGCAGATAAAAATAAGTAAAAAAGTTCGTATAAATGTATGCCCTAAAATCCTTAGTTTCGAAGATACGGGATGTAGAAGTTTCATTTTTATTTCGACTTTTTTCCAAATAATTTGTGAAGTAACGTCAAGATTTGGGTGAAAATTGGTGTCTGGGAGTTTTTGACAAGAGAAATTTGATTTTGATGTCAATGTGACTCTTAATTGTAGGGGGCGCCACCTACATGTGTTTTAACTGTTTTGAAGAGTAATAACTTTTCTCGACCCTACCTGTATAAAACAACTGAGTAAAAGGATATACATTTCCGTGATTTTTTACGTAAAAAATGTCTCTTGGTAAAAATCTCTACAAACAACCGTTCTCACGATATTTAGAATGGAAATAGTAAATACATGTCATTATTGACAAAAAATAAACGCGTTCAGTAGATAGTTATTTGACTCTAATAATACATTTGGGAATTTTTTTTTTTAAATTATAAATTTTTCTGCGAAAAAATTATGATAAAACAGTTTCTGTTGAACTTTTGGCACAAAAACATTTCCAATTTATGATTTCAGTCTAAACTACCGTATGATCGAATAAAAACGGCGTCAGCGATGGCTATGAAATGAAGATCGGTGATATTTCCCATATAATTTTACATACAAAATGGCAGCGATCTTCATTTCATAGCCATCGCTAACGCCGTTTTTATTCGACCCTATGGTAGTTAGTCACCATGTTTAATTAATATGATGACAGGTATTGATAATTTCGATTACAAATATATCGAGGACCATTACTCGTAGCTTGTTTTTATCAAGAGATCTTTTTTAAGTAAAAAACGTCGAAAATTTATATTTTTTACTCAGTACTTTTATACAGATACGGACGAAAAGTTATTACTCTTCAAACCAGTTTAAAAATGTGTAGGTGGCGCCCTCTACATGTAAGAGTTATATAAATATCAAAATCAAATTTCTCATGTCAAAAAACTCCCAGACACCAATTTTTATTCAAATATTGACGTTACTTCAGAAATTATTTGAAAAAAATCGAAATAAAAATGAAACTTCTACACCCTGTAAGTCCGAAATCAATCATTTTAGGAAATACTTTTATATTTATTTTTATCTGCAGAATATGCTGCCGAAATTTCCGGAATACAGTTCGAACCACTCTGTATATAATATTTATATAAAAAAAACCTCTCTTTAATATCTTTATGTCAATTTTCCCATTTTTCAATTTTTATGTCTGCTTCAAGAGCGAATATCTCCAACAAAAATAAAGATATTGAGATAAATCAAAGAAGAAATTATTGAGAAAGGATGTACCTAAGTGGTAAAATGATTTTTAAATTCCTTGCTGTCTTAACATATTCCACAATATCCATAGTCCATAGGGTGTTCCCGGTGTTCCAAACTTTCAGCAAAACATCAACATTTGTTTTTCCTCGTATTATTGACAGATGGGAACATTATTTTTAATTTAGAAAGAGATACTAAAAAGCCGAATATGTTAGCTACATATTGTTTAAAAAATAATCAAAATCGGCTACTAAAAAAAACTTTAAAATACATCAAAATTTTAAGGTACCTATTTTTCGTGCAGCGGTTAGTGTATTTTTAGTCCAAGAAAATGGACCTTTAAATACAAAGTTTTGGTAAACGAATTGTGAAAGATTTTTTTTAAATTCAACCGCCTGGAAAAGGTGTGAGATAAATAAATAAATAAAATTACTTTTTCGAAATTTCGGAGAAACGGTAAGAACTAGAAGAAAAGGGCAAATCAAAGTTTTGTGGAGCGCCAAATTTTACATAGAAATGGAGTGGTCAGATAAGGATTTTAAGAAGGGAAGACGTCTACAAAGTCTGAGAGAGGTAAACGATACAAGTTTGAGGAAGTAGATACATTTACATATCTAGGAGCCGTATTTCTAAGGAATCCAAATGTAACTCAAGAAATTATGGCAGGAAATAGATGTGTCAGCGCATTATAGAAAATTATTAAGAGTTAAAACATTTCTAGAAGTTCAAAAATCAGAATGTACCAAACAATGATAAGATCAATAGCTGTATGCATGTGAAACGTGGACGTTCAATGCAACGGAAAGTTCGAGGCTAGAGATTTGGGAAAGAAAAATACTGAGGAAGATTTTTGGAGGAAAGAAGATAGACAACATATGGACCAGAAGAACAAATGAATAATTAAAGCAACTATATCGGGCACCGAGTATAACGAGAGTAGCAAGAGCACAAAGACTGAGATGGCTGGGACACATTGAAAGAATGGCTGAAGCAAGAATTCCTAGTATGATAATGAAACGTGAAATAGGTGGAAAGAGAAGGAGGGGTAGACCGAGAATCAGATGGAAAAAGGATGTAGAAGAGGACTTGATAAGAATAAGGGTGGATGGGTCGATGGGTTCCAAATAAAGGCGAAAGACACAAACAAATGGAGAAAGATAACCAATCAAGCCATGAGCCCTTTTAGGCTTTTAGAGCTATTATATATATAATATTTAATTTGTTTGGAAAATTATAAATTTCAATAAAAAAAATTTTAAATTCACTCCGAGAAGGGGTGAAAATATAAATAAAGTGTTTTTTTATTCCAAATTTCAGAAAAACCGATAAGGACTTGAAAAAAATGTTTCCATAAAAGCTGTCCCCTAGCTTCTAGCCACCCTATCTCGGTTAATTTTGATCTGAGCAAAAAAAGTATTCAGGTTATTTCTAAGTAGAATTTGACGCTCCACAACTTTTATTTTAATTTTTTTTTTCTAGTTCTTACCGTTTCTCCAAAATTTCGAAAAATAATTTTATTTAATTTATTTTACTCCTTGTCGGGGGTGAATTAAAAAAAAATCTTTCACAAAGTTTTTACCAAACTTCCTATTTAGAGACCTATTTTCTTCTACTATTTTTAATATTAGCTTAAAAACCTTTTCGTTAGGCCAGTACTTTTTAAAACCTCTTTATGGAGGAGACAAAGGACTCGTTTATATTTAAGCAGCTTTAATGTAGACTAGGCAGTGTGTTTAAGCCATTTTTTTTAAAGCGTACACTAGACTCTAGTATTTTGCGGTAATATTAAATTCCCTTTTGTCCATTTTTGCGGCTAGAACAGATATGAGATATGAGTTACTAAATATGGCGAGTGTATACTGTAATGTTTTATATGGAAGATGTTTTTTTTAGAAACTTTTTTTTAGAAATGAGTGAGGTGGATTATGGTAGATCACAGAAAATAGTTCATTTAAAGAGCATATTTTGAAGTGAACCTTATTTACGCACGCTAGGAATAAAAATTCAAGGCTGTGACAGACGAACTAAAAACGTAACCATGTGGTAACGATCTGGAAAAGTGGTAGTAGTGACGCGTGGTGTTTTATTTGTTACTCGTAAAAAATTGGTATTTGGGTAAACTAACATTAAAACTGGTAAAGGGGTATTTCGCCACTGCAAGAAAATCTTCAAAATAAAATAGTTATTTTTTGTAAACACTTATTCTGGGTTAATCCCAAACGGACACTACTTGTCAGAAGTGTGAAAAAAGGTGTTATAAAAAGTTTATATGATAGTTTATAAAATAATATAATGAGACGACATTTCACTAAACAGAGATATAAACCACATAAAAAATACATTAATAAAAAACGACTATCCACCAAATTTTTTGATGTTATTACAAGAGAGAGAGAGAGAGAGAGATAGAGAGAGAGAGAGAGAGAGAC